AGTTTACTTCAGAGATAGAATCTTCCTGTAACAAAAACAAATACAGCAGTTGCAGTGCTCGTAATGTAGATCAATGATAGCAAGATGTGTAGTTTTGCATTTAAGAGCTCTGTGAATCCCGTATATGCCATATATGTGGGGTTTGCTATAAATGTGAACCTACCTATCTACCTACCTGCCTACCTTCCTTCCTCTCTCCCTCCCTTCCTTCCTTTTTCCCTCCTTCCCTCCCTCCCTGTTCCTTCCTTTTTATATTTTGAAGGATTTTCTTACTTGAAAAGACTGGGAATTAACAAAGCAAAGCCAAGGCTTTGCCTAGAGGAAGTAAAGTAATTCAATACCCCTGTGGTTAGGGTAATCATTATTCATTTATAAGTGTCATCCTATAAATTAGGATATGACCAGTTCAACTACATGGCATCATGTGAAACCCAACCACTGGGGGCACTGTTGACCTTTCATTTGAATTCTTTTGAAATGGTGACAGGTAGCTTAGCTAATGGCTGTAGACCAAGTACTGGGTGTTATCTATCGAGGCATTAGAAACACTCCCCATACCCCCATAAAAGTCAAACAGCCAAAACACCTTATTAACTTTGAGGGGGAAGTGAAGACACGGAATATATAAAATGGGGTTGCTTTAACCAAGCTGTTACAATTGTTAGCATTATGAAGGTTCAGGCATGAGGAAGACTCCATTCTTGTTCTAACTAACCTGGGAACTTAAAAAATTGTTTGAACTTTTCAGTCCTGTGTCAATGCCTGGATACCCATCTGGGCCTCCAGATAACTTTTTAATTAACTCCCTGAAGGACTCACGTATACATCCACCTGACGTCTAGAACACCAGACTTGACCAGATCTCCTGGTACCCATCTTCCATACCACCTGGCATCCATCATCCTGACTCCCAGCCATCTGATAACCGTCCTGGACCAATCCTAGGGCTATGACTACAGGACTGACTATTCTTAAGAACATACTTTTTACCATAAGAATTTTTACTTTTCTCTCTTCTTTGGAACACTGGGAGTTTTGCCTGACTGTGTTTCCAGGTTGCAAACTCTAAGACCCTTGAATAAATCTCTATCATTTATTTCTAGTAAAACCTCCAGACTCTCTTTGAGTTCATTCGACAACTTTTAGGAAAGTTTTCTTCCATACTATGGCCTTACACAGATCACACACACTTCCCCGGATTCTGCCTTGGACTAGGGTTCCCATGCTTAATGGGAAGGAGTGTGCTTTGGCCCAGTTACACTGTCTTCTCCAAGCCCTTTGAAAGGACCATGCTCCCTCTCACTGCAGGACCTCCTCTTGGTGCATACTGTGCTCCAAATTGGCTGCTACTCATTGCTCAGATCACAGCTCCACGGTCTCTTCCTCAGGGAAGCCTGCCCTGACTCCCAACAAAGTCAAGTACCCCTTTTCATAATACACTCTCAGGACACCATGTACCCTCCTTGGTAAGTGTCACAATTTTACATTTAATTCTGTGGTTACGTCATTAATGTCTATCTTCCCCACTAACCTGTAAGTCCCAGTTCCCTTACTATTTTGTCAGCAAAGATCTAGTTTACCAGAAGCCCTAACCTTGTTTAGGTGTTGCCGAGCTCTCTGGGACGCCAGAAGACCGCACACACTTTCGTGGATCTTCTTCCATGTGGACTGACAGCCAGGGTGGAACCTGCTCAGCACATTAAACAGGATAGAGCATTATGTAGCTAATAAAAACAACATTTGGAGGACCTAACAACATCGGTTGATGTTTATGACAATAGTGAGAAAAAAGCAGCAATATGAAAAAGAGCATACATAATGTGGTTTCAATGTCTTTATTAAACTTACACATAGGAAAATTACAGGGAATAAATATAACCAAGATGTTAACAATAGTTTGTGCTTGTGTGTGTGGCTATGATTCCTTTCTTCTTTGTACTTTACTGTGTATTTTAGCTATTTCACTAAAGAACAAATCCTGCTTTTACACTTAAAAATTTAATCCAGGGCCGGCTGAGTGGCGCGTTGGTTAAGAGCTGGCTTGGGATGCCAGAGGGCCCCAGTTCGGATCCCACATATGAGGGCCAGTGACACTGCCCTCTACAGCTAAGATGCTGAACAACAGCTCAACCTGGAGCTGGGCTGCCCATGAGTCACCAGTGACAGCATAGGCTGCAGCCCCTGCTGCAGTGGGTTGCCATGGCTACTGTGTATAGCCAGCAGCCAGCGTGAGGGGCCAGCAGCCAGTGTGAGTGGCCAGCAGCCGCCATGAGTGGCCGTCCAGAAGCCAGCAACTGATCTGCCTCGCCCGGGAAGAGCGCAATGATGGTGCCAACTTGGGCCAGTGAAGCAACATCCTCTACAACTAGACTGAAGAACAAAAGGACAGCAACTTGTCTGTTCCCCTTCCCCAATTCCCCAGCGCTGTTCCCATCCCCCAATTCCCCAATAAAAAATCTTAAAAAAAATGTAATCCAAAAATTTTTAATACAAAATTTAATCCCAATTATTTTCTACCATAAGTATTTTATTTTATATCTCATTTACTTTAGGTCAACCAGACACAAACTTAACTACAGGTCTTACAGCATCTTCAGTTCCTCAAACATGAAGCATTTTCTCCCTCCACAGGCATATGCCAACACTGCTCCCTCTGCCTCAAATGCTGCAACCTCCAACCCCATTCTCCACTCATGTTAACTTCTACCCACCCTCCAGAGCTCAGTTCAATAATTTTTTTAAACATCGTGAACAGGCTTTATTTGTCACCATGAGAAGACTGAATTTTAAATGGATTGTTGGACTAGGAGCTCATATCCATCCGCTCGCTCAGCTTTAGCACCCGTCTCATCCCCAGTCGCTTGTACAGAACTGCTACCTTCACCATGAACTTCCATGACTTTTCCCAATTCAAACTTGGGCTTCTTCAGCATTTTGACTTTTCTAACAAAGACATCATGGGGCAGATAGATTGGCAAGCCTTTTCTATGTCTTTTCCAATGCTATCTGGAATCAATTTATTGACCACTTCGTTCAAGTCATTTGTCTGCACCTCTTGGGGCATGATTTCCATCATCTTCTTCTGAATTTGGTGGACCTGTTGATGCTAAGCATAAGTGGTCTTCCAAATCTGATCGTTGTGTTTTTTAGTGAAACCAACACAGAACAGATGGAGCAAATAACTATCTGCAGTTTTGACATCAACATGAGTTTCAGTCACGGTCTGCCATTTTTTGACCATGGAGCACATTTCGTTACAGGTAAGATCCATGCCACGGAAACCAGTCAGGCAGTTTTTGCCCTGAACATCTTCAGTAATTAACTTGAATTTTCTAAATGCAACTTCATCATTCTGCAGATCACCTAGGCTCACTCCAAAAACACAACCCTTGAGATACAATTTAGGTCTCCTGACTTCTTATAACAAATGTTTTCCCAATATTTCTTATATTGAACATAGCTGGTGCTTTCACATAATACCAATCTTTCTTAGAAAATGGGTCAATCACTTTTTTCTTGGCTCCCTTCTTGGCACCTTTGGTAGAGTGCTTTTTTTTGCCAGCTGCCATGGTGCTGCTCAAAAGGTCAGCTTAATTGATTACCCAGGAAAATCCTTCCTGATTCTCCTCCTATAGAGGAGGTCAGCTTCCCTGTTTTATGCATTTGGAATCCATTTACTCCTTATTTATAGTGCTTCCCCAGTGGACATTTTGTCATTATTTGATTAATGTCGGTCTCTACTCCTGGACTGAAATTGGGACTAAAACTCTTGGGTTAATAGTTCCTCCCAGGGCCTTGTAGATATTGAATACCACAATATGTGTTTAATAAATATTGCTTGAGTGATTGAATTCATCCTTTATTTGATGAATTCATTCATTCATTTTCGTGAGGGGAGTGGGTACCAATTTCTAAAGTCTGAGGCAGAATTTGCAATTTGATTATGAAAAGCACAGATATTGTTTTCTTAAAATGCCTAGAGGATTTTAGCAATTTGGATAAAATCGTTCTCTTTAATACATGTGCAACAAACTAGAAATGACAGGAACATTTGGGAATCAATCAGTCATTATCATGGCCACCACACCAATGAGCCTCTCCCGGTGTAGCTGCCCTTCTGCTTAGTTTGAGACTCACATCCAGGCCATCCATCCTGCTCTTCCTGTAGCAAGCTTGTACTGCTGATTTCCAGGGAGACAAGACCAAGGGTATGACTGGATCTACACAAATCCATTACCAACCCAGGAAAACTCAGCAAATGAAAGCACCGCCTAAAGCGCTGCCCATGTTTGCAAAGGCCAGGAACATTATTTTTATACTCCTCTAAGAATTTTTAAGAGGAAGGCACAGAAATATTTTGAAGCTATAAATTAAGTTAGCATCTAAAAGGAGCCACCAGCTGAACACTGTAAATGTTTTTTCACAGGTCTTGAGTAATCAGTACCAAAACAATTCCTACATTTGTTACTATTATTATTATATCCAATCAATGTTACATTTGAAGATCTCTGAGAATGAAGAGTTAACAGACAGGAGCAATGCTGTGCCTTTATTACAGCCTTCTCCTCATGCAGGGGAAGAGCAAGGATGTGTGCGGAAGGGATGTGACACTATCCAGATGATGGAGATAGGAAACAGGCTCGAGAGTATTCCTCCCTCCCCTTTGGGACTACCATTTTCTTACCCTACTAGTTAAAAGGTTTTTTACTTCCTCCATTAAACTTTGGGCTGTTACTCCAAAATTTGTCTCCCAATTCATCTGGGCAACTTTGGCCCTTATTGATTTCAGTATTAAGCTAGCAAAAATTCAGTACACTTCTCTGATCTGGGCATAGGGAGAGTGGTCCCAATGGTGCTGACATGAGTGAGGCTGGGGCAAAGTACTTGGTAGCAGCTAGTATTTGATCAAGCTGAAGTTGACAGGGAATGAATTCGTCCACAAGGATACAAAGGGATGTCCTTCATTCAGAAAAGCTGTCTTCAAAATGTTATTTTCAGTGCCACTTTCCTGGTTTGCCCAGGACAAAGATGTTTCCCAGAATGCAGGACTTTCAGAGCTAAAACCAGGACAGTCCTGGGCCAACCAGATGGCCTTTCTGTGACTATGTTATTCTTTGTCACTGTTGGTCACGCCCTTATTTATAAAATCATAGTCCAATTAATCCCAAAGTTATTATATTTGAGCACATAGAATTTGCTGACTCATCAGAGATAGCTGATTCAGCTGTGCTTATTCCTGTGCCTGAACTTGCAAAAGCTCCCCACGGCCTTCCAACAAAGCCCAAACATTTTAGCTTGGCTTGCACGGTCCCCTCTCAGACCCTCAGCATTGGCACCCACCATTCCCCTAAGCTGGCCAAACTTCTAGAAGCTGACAGTGCCCTTTAATTTCTTGCCTCCCTTCCATTAATCTACCATAATCCAAGCCCCTTCCTCCAGGCCCATATGCAAATACCTCTCCTCCGTAAAACATTCCAGAAGTGCCTTCCTTATCCTTTATTCTCCGAAAGTATTTGGTCTGTACTATTCTCAAAGTCCTGCCTTGTACAAAGTTATCTGTGTACATGTTTTTTACATCCTCTGTTGGGTTGCAAGTTCTGAGATCAAAAGAAACGTCTTAAATGTTAACATTTCCATTATAGGCCTAGCAGATTAACTATCAACCCTGCTTTTCCTCTGAGGCACTATTTTTTTTTTCTTGTAGTCAGCAAATATTTATTGAATGTCTACTAAGCACCATGAACTGGTAACTGATTCTTCACATGTCTTTTTTTTAAACTGAGATTAATTGATGAGGCACTGTTTGTTTTTTTTAAGGTTTTTTTATTATTATTATTTTATTGGGGAACAGTATGTTTTTCCAGGACCCATCAGCTCCAAGTCAAGTAGTTGTTTCAAACTAGTTGTGGAGGGCGCAACACAGTGGCCCATATGGGGATAGAACTGGCAACCTTGCTATTATGAGCCTGTGCTCTATCCACCTGAGCTAGCCGGCCGCCCCAATGAGGCACTCTTTTAACTGCAGAGATTCTACACTCCCCTATTCAGGCCCAGTTCCAATCCCAAGGATTTTTACTCAATATATATGAGACAACTCTTTATTGAGCCAGAGTTCAGAATCAAAGGATTGCTGCATAAAGATACTGGTGAAAGACTGGCTGAGTGAATGCATAAACCATCTAACAAATTTATTTTAAAAGGAATAAGGCTTTCCTTCCTAGATCTCCCTCCTGCTGGAAATAACCTCCTCTTGCCCTGTCTTTCCCTCACATTTGAATTCTACTTCTGTCAAGCACATACCACAGTCCATTTCATATTAATAGGGTATGCCTGCCTCTCTGTCTAGCATGTGAGCCACTGGAAAACAAGGACATATCACCATCATGTACACTGTACATAATAGGTGCTCAATAAATGTATACTCAATTCAATCCCTCGGAAAAGCTTGCTATGCTGATTATAAGGAGTTTGGGCGATGTATCAAAACAAGGCACATGGACAAATGCCGTGGGTTTTCTCCAGTTCTGGCAGCAGAGAAGCACTTTGTGGCTGTCAGAGGATGGATCTTTGATCAGTACACTCATTTTACAGCTGAGGAAACTAAAGTCTAAAAGTCCAAATATTTGTGTGAGATCACATATCACTTAGAGATAGATGAGCACTAGAGTTCAAATCTCCTGACTACCACTCATTGAAGGTTCTTCCCCCTCTCCATTTAAAATCAATTCTCTCTAGGTCTTCACATCCGGGGTAACCCCTCCTGCTTTGTTCCAGGCTGGTAGAAAGAGGATAAGCCACCGTGGGTGGAGGCCAGGTGTCAATGTGTCTCTGACCACTTGTCTCTGGATGTCAAGGCCAATTTTAAAAAATGTATGTTATATTGATTTCTTCCAATAAAGTAACTAATCAAGAACTCACCATTCTTTAATAGATTTTATTAGAATATTTTATTTGGTTTCCTCAAGTTGATTATTAAACATTTTAATATAAAAGTATTCTATCATTTCTGAAAAACACTAAGAATGCACTGTCACTTTCTTAGTCTACCTCAAACTTAATATAATTCCTATTATAATTTCAGGGCCACTTTTGTTCTGAGATATTTACTATGAGCCCCTTTGTAAGCAATTGCATTATTTTGATATAGGGATTTCTCTTATTCTCATCACCAACAATGCAGAATAAAGCAAACTGGCATATTCATCATTCAAAACAACTATCTTACTAATATCTTTGGTGCTACTTCCCTGGAGTTGAGGTGACCAACTGTCCTGGCTTGCCTGGGACTAAGGGTTTTCTCAGAATGCAAGACTGTCAGGGTTAAAATCGAGACAGTCCTGGGCAAACCAGATGGTTAGTAACGTTACTAAAGAGTACAGTTAGGAAAATAAAAGTTCCTGCTCTCCATCTCTGGCCTGCCCTCCAGACATACACAATCATTGTTTTTTAAATTTGTAACAATAATATAAACAAATCAAGAAACCAAGTCTAGAAAAAGAGAAAGGAGATATACCCATATACTGTTAATGTTTGTCTTTGTCTGACAGGACTATGGGTGATTTTTTTCTCACTCCTTTTTGTTTTTGTGTAATTTCCAAAATTTCTATAGCGAGCACTTTGATACTGGTGAAATCAAAAGCTTGCATTTTAAAATTTATAACAGCTAAAGGTGGATAGACAAATAGTATCTATACCAAGTTAGCTGTCTGTCCCATTTTCAACGAACATCCTGAGATATGTTTTCCAGGGGCAAGAGAAAAGGCCCAACTCTTACTTGGAGGAAGAATTTTAAAGGAATCATAATTTTTCATATCAAGGTGTCACCTGATAAGCTGAATATTTCTAAGGAAGCAAAACTGATGAAGTGACCCAGCTGTAGTCCTGCCAGACCACAGGGCAGTAAAGAGATAGGCACTTGCCACTGACCTTTCTCTGAGACGAAGCTGACCCATAAGAGGGCTGGGAGATCTGGAGGGCTGGGAGGTGGCAAATGAAGTTTCTGGGTGGAAGTCAGCATCCCCTCGGTGACCGTAACTGGGCGAGCACTTCCCAAACTTCCTTGAACCTAAAGGTGATGGTGACTCATTCCTTAAAACAATCCGTTCGTCTGGCTCTTTGATAACCTGAGTGATAATGTGCAATATTTTTTAGTTGTAGTTTTGCTTTTGCTTGCTTAATTTAGAGCTGGGGTAGGATGGGACAAGGAAGAGAACTGGGGCCAAGATGATACAATACCTGCCCCGAGGATCTCCTGCAATAAAAGAGGGCAGGAGTAGAGAAGACTAGAGACAAAATGCTCAGGAGTCAAGGTCAAGGAAAGATAACCAGAATTCTGTACATTTGGCATGCATTAACTAGCCAAAATAAACTCATGCTCTGAACTTTGATTTGTGAGAACTGGGGATTATTGGGTTTGGGAAAGATGTAATTTTTTAATGAAATACTTAAATACTATGGCATAACAAGCACAGTATACTCCATTTTCTTTGCATACATCTATTTTTCATGTTGTAACATAAAACTTTGTCCCTTCACCTTGACAAACCAATCAAACTTCAAGAATAAGCGATTTATTATCTCTATGTATAAAGGTATTCAAAAAAGCAGTGAAAATTCTACTGATAAAGTAGCTAGTAGGCCTACATACACCCTCATTAGTGATTCACCCTACAAATGAAAAAAGCTTATATGAAGGCAACAAACCAATTAAAGCAAAGCAAAGCAGACAGTGCAGCCCGGGCACCTCTTAAACTCTAGTTAAACTACAGCAATTCATTCCATAAGGAACACTAGTTAGAAATATGCTTTTCACCACTCACTGGAGAAAGCACAATAATAGACATTAGATAGCTGGAAATCAATCATTTTACAAATGCTACTTCTAAAATTACCTTTACGTTAGCTGCACAGATGTCAAGAGAAGAAGCTAGAAGGAAGAAGAACAGGTGTTTTAATGACTCATTGTTACCAACCCTAAAACTGCTGTTACATTTATTCCACAGCAGTGTAAAAATATTACACAATGAATGAATTATTAAAGAGCTTAAATGTTCCCTTGTGAATTGCACTATCACTTTTAAGCCTCCCTTGAGTTGCAGCAATTCTAGCTATGAGTTTTTCTGTCCTCTTGAGGTCAACAATGAGGTTACATTATTAATGACAAAAATATGGGAAGGGTCAAAGAGAATCTAAAATAATATAATAAGTTCAGTAAACCTCAAGCAGCCTGGAAAACTCATATTTGCCCGGGTGCCCACAGCCAAAAGAAAGCATGTAGCTCTAATATAAAATTCATATACTCTTCCTCTTCTGCCATTCCCTTTATATTTAGTTACCGTGAAATCCTATTTATGCAGAAACTCTTGAGTACACTTGTCCAAGGTAAACATGAATGTTAGAGACAATTAATATGGAAGAACTTGGAGAAATATAATGCAGCAAAAATATATATCATGGGGCCGGCTGAGTGGTATGTTGGTTAAGAGCTGGCTTGGGATGCCAGAGGACCCCAGTTCGGATCCCACATATGAGGGCCAGTGACACTGCCCTCCACAGGTAAGATGCTGAACAACAGCTCAACCTGGAGCTGGGCTGCCGTTAGTCACGGCGATGGCATAGGCTGCAGCCCCTCTGCAGTGGGTTGCCATGGGCTACCCTATGTAGCCAGCAGCCAGCGTAAGCAGCCAGCAGCCGCCGTGAGCGGCCATCCAGAAGCCGGCAACTGATCTGCCTCGCCCGGGAAGAGCGCAATGATGGTGCCAACTTGGGCCAGTGAAGCGATGTCCTCCACAACTAGACTGAAGAACAAAACGACAGTAACTTGTCTGTTCCCCTTCCCCCAATTCCCCAGCACTGTTCCCATCCCCCAATTCCCCAATAAAAATCTTAATATATATATATATATATATATATATATATAAATCATTATGATTACCCTAAATAATCATAATAAATAAGTAGGTCTAATGCCAGAGAATAGTAAGAATGACTAGGAAGTGAAGTAATTAATGCACATAGACAAAGCCAAGACTAAACTGGATTTTTCGAGGTTGAGAGAAAAACATGCTCTTGTAATGAGTATTTGCAAGGCTACCTAGTTGACTGGGGCTGAAGCAGTGACGAGGGGCTTTTCCTGGACTGCTGATTCCCCTGTGCCACCGGCAGTAGAGAAGGAAACTACGAAAAGGGATTTTTAAGCCTGGCGACTGTCATATCCTCTGGGCATTCACATTATGTATGTCCCTCTCATCCCAGCTGAGCCCCTAGGGAGTCGGTAATGCTAAGGCCCTTTTCAGCTATGGCCACAAAACTGCCCTGTGGCCCCCTTGCTACTGGCCTTGAGCTCACCCCTCCACAGGGGCTTGCTTGCCTTTGTCCCCTTGCTTCTCAAAGTGCAGTCCGTGGACCAGCAACGCTGGTATCACCTGGAAGCTTGTTACAAAGGAAAGATCCCAGGAGCCACCCAGCCCTACTGAAAATCTGCAGTTTAACACGATCCCCAGGTGATTCAAATCCACATTCAAATGTGAGAAGCACTGCATTATTCTACCTTAGGCCTGGATGAATGAGCTGACAGGTGACCTAAGCAAAGGTCTGGCTTAGAAGCTAGGGGTTCCAAGGATCTGAGCCCACAGGTCTGAACGTCTTCTCTAACTGGAGGTTTGTCAAAAACTTGGTGTGTGACCTGTACACGCTCTGTAAGCTCTCTGAAACCTGAGTTCTCCTCCTGCCAGGATTAAGAAAAGACAAAGGCCGAGACCAGTGTGATAGATGAGTCCCTGAGCCAGCATTAAGCCCAACTTGTCCTCCCCGGCAAAGGACATTTGCAGGTGCTTGATTTCACAGTAATAGGGAAAACAGTGCTGCTTCAATAGGCTACAAAGGCCTCAAATTAAATGTCAGAGGTGATAAAGCACTTTCTGCTTCAAAGTGTACTCTGTCCTTGGTTGGCTGCTGTAGAATAGTCACACATGATCCAAGAACACTGGCTTGAGTTACCATAAGACACTGCACAGCCTTTGAAAGTATAAACCGTTAAGCCTAAAATAGGGAACCTGTTGTCAGGGATGGTGCAGGTCCAGTCCTACCAGGAGTCAAAGAGAATGGGCCACCACCATCCCGTTCTAGCCAAGAATGCTTCTTAAGTTAAAAATGGTTGGGGGGCCGGCCGAGTGGCGCATTGGTTAAGAGCTGGCTTGGGATGCCAGAGGGCCCCAGTTCGGATCCCACATATGAGGGCCAGTGACACTGCCCTCTACATCTAAGATGGTGAACAATAGCTCAACCTGGAGCTGGGCTGCCGTTAGTCACGGTGATGGCGTAGGCTGCAGCCCCTCTGCAGTGGGTTGCCATGGGCTACCCTATGTAGCCAGCAGCCAGCGTAAGCGGCCAGCAGCCACAGTGAGCGGCCATCCAGAAGCCGGCGACTGATGTGCCTCGCCCGGGAAGAGCGCAATGATGGTGCCAACTTGGGCCAGTGAAGCGATGTCCTCCACAACTAGACTGAAGAACAAAACGACAGCAACTTGTCTGTTCCCCTTCCCCCAATTCCCCAGCACTGTTCCCATCCCCCAATTCCCCAATAAAAAATCTTAAAAAAAAAAATGGTTGCACTTCACTGCCATGACCTTCAATGTTGACATGGTTCATGTATTTCAATCGTAAGGTAAACACCTTCAAGGGATGCTTTCATCCAGTGACTCGCAGGATGTGCGGTCCAGGGATCTCCTGAGGTGGTTCCAAGACCTTCAGGAGCTCTGCAAGGTCAAAACTACTCTCCTAACAATACTAAGAAATGAGTTGCCTTGTTCACTCTCATTCTCTCATGACTGTACAATGAAGTTTTCAAAAAGCTACATAACGTCATGACATCTCCACTCTGATGGATTCTGGAATGTGTGCTTGTGCAGCCTTTGTATTTTACAAATTTCTCAGTTTTAATTTCTAATATGCTAAATATTAATAGCTATCATCCACATAAACAAAAGCTCTTGGGGGTCCTCAGTGTTTAAGAATGCAACAGGGTCCTGAAGCCTGAACTTTGAGATCCCCTGCCTTCCCCTAACTGCTTCAGATAGCGTCGGCTCCCCTCCTTGCTGACACAGAATCTTATGAAGCAAATGTTAGGTCTCCTGCTCTTCCCCAATCAGAGACATGGCGACTCTTGTTTGTTGGCTATCAGTGGTGCCTTTGCAAGGAATTCACATCAGGGCAAGCTGCTCCCTCCTTTTCCAGCCTGGCCAGGGAACAGCTGTAACCAGAAGACACTTGGTGACAAGTCTCCTTCACAAGCTAGAGGAACTCTGAAACGAACCCTCAGCTGACTCTGCTCCATGGGAACTCTGGGAACTCCACTGCTGGAGAGCACTTGTGAATTAAACCCCAAGCTGCCAAAGAGACTTGTGATTCCACAGAATAAAAGAAGATTTAGAAGGATACATTTGTTCCCAGAGAAATGCACAAAAGACTTGAGTACCTCTTCTCATTGAAAAGGGAAAGTTTGAAAACTTAGATTTTCTTCTAGACTTGCGGGAATGATGCTCTGAAACATTCTCACCAAAGGGCTTTGCACTGTCCACCTGAAAGTAAAGGAAAGAGGTAAGACTTGAAACTACCATAGCTTACATTACCCTCTCTTCATTACCTGCAATGCCGTTTTCTCCCTGTGCAGGTCATGCAGGTGAGAAAAGAAGGTTGGGAACAAATTAAATCATGGTATCCAAGTACGTTAAATATAATCCCAATAGGGAAAATTGTTCGTCCTTATCTTCATGGAGGCTAGAACATGAGTATATGGGCTCAGTGTTCACATAAAGAACTAAAGTTGGACTTATATTCTAACCATTGGTAAGAATCAAGCCCATAAAAGAGCAAATGAGGTTTATTTTACAATCTTTTAAAACAAGATGGAGTTTCAGTTCCTGAAGAGTCTGAGCAGTGCTGGCCTAGGTGGGGTCCTCCCTGAAGAGAGGGATTATCTATCATAAGGTGACAGTTCAGCCTTCCACATCCCCTGCCAGTCTGAGCGTTTATGCCCTTGAAAAAAAGAATAGTGACGACTGTATTATTTTACTTAAGGGGACCATACTTTCCTAAATTGGACAACATGATCTGCAAACAGGTCAAAATACTTGAAACAGGAACTCTTCCAGAATATCTATGACATAGAGTTGCTGGATTTCTTTTTTACCTTATTTGTTTGTTTGCTTTTAAATTTCAAGAAGGTAGGTTGTAATATTACTCTTCATTCTACTTTAAGAAATATATTCATTAGAATTCACCATCTTCACAACATTAGGTCCTCTAACTTTTAACGCTTCTACTTAAAGAAGCATCAGGTATCATAAAAAAACCTGGCTAAATAAACAAGTTAGTATGTATAAGGCACCTAGAAAAGAGTTTGGCACATAGTAAAGGCTGTATATGAATTTGTTAAATAAAACAAATATCAAGCAAGTTTTATTTCCTAAGAAATCTAACGATACTTTAAGCTTATTGAGACCATAATGGCATAGGCTAAAGTTGTATTTTACAAAATTTTTTTTCAAATGGAATAAATCAGATTGTCCAATAAACTCAGTTGAATATTTTTATGATGCCATGTTTAAAGACTGGTTGCTAGATTTTTGCAAGACATTTTTACCCAGGTCACCATGAAGAAAACAGCTGTTCTGTAGTTTGTAGCCAAAGAACATCGCTGTTCTACCTGAAAACCAACTCTGTATATGGTTATCTCAACAGCACCTTGACTTTGGGGCTTACTATGCTTCATATCTAATACACAAACATCACCACTAGTGACTGTAAGTCAAACTACCAACTTAATAATATCAATATTTAACTACTGAACTTAGAAGTACTACTGGAGAATAAGTCATGAACTAGAATGTGGAATTATGTTCAAGAAGATTATGAAATAATATAGAAAATGCTTTTAATGTAATATTAACTGTGTATATTAAGAAACTAATTGGTATATAGTACAGTATAACTACAACTGTGTAGAAAAATTAAACAGTATGAATATTTAAAAAGGTGAAAGAAAATGCATTAAATTAAATAAAATTTTGATTTGTATTATGCTGGTGAGCCTACGGGTAATTTTTTTGAACTGTTCTATTTTTTCCACTACTTTTATAGTAGTCAAAATGTTTAAGGCGACTAAGAGAACTAATGTGATTAAATTTTCACACTACTTCTTGAGGGTTACATCTAAGATGCATTTAATCAAGGGCTTTGAGTATGGCATGCCAGTGCTTCTTCCTGAAGACACATTTTTCCTGCTCTTTCAAGTACAGCCAGTGAGCAACAACCTCATCTGAAAAACTCAAGCAGTTTTCTTTAAAGTTGGTGAGAAGCTTTAGTTTCAGGTTGGTACAGAGGATATGCTGGCCTTTGTTATGCATCTCCTACCCCCGTCAGTTCACTGATTCTTTTTGCCATATGTAGACATCACATTCTATTAATATTTTCAAAAATTAAAACTAGGAATGGCTGGGGGCTCGCCGAGTGGCTCAGTTGGTTAAGAGCGCAAGCTCTGAGCAACAGGGTTGCCAGCTCGATTCCCACATGGGCCAGTGGGCTGCACCCAAGCTGAGCTGCTGCTGAGCTGCCAACAGGTGGCAGGACGGCTCAGCTGGTGAGAGCACGTGCTCCTAACAAGGTTGCCTGTTTGACTCCCGCATGAGATGATGGGCTCCACCCGCCTGCAACTAAAGACTGAGCTCAGCACCTTAAGCTGAGCAGCTGTGAGCCGCCCACAGGCAGCCAGATGGCGACTGGACTTGGAGCTGAGCTAGCTGCGCCCTCCACAACTAAGATCAAAGGACAAAAACGTGGCTGTTCCCCTCCCCCAATTCCCCAACACTGTTCCCCTTCCCCACTTCCCCAATAAAATCAATATTAAAAAAAAAATAGGGATGGCTGACATTCACTGAGCAAGTCCTCTGTACAAGATATTGTTATGGCAACTTCCTGACAATGACTCTACCAAGAGAACATAATGTAATCATAGTTATTATTGAGTTTGAGTTCCCTCTGTATTTAATGTTACCCATTTGTTTTTATGGCCCAACCTTCCTTTATTCTGCCCGCATTCACACCCTCACCCTTCCAAAGAACTCTGAAAAGTAATTTTAGGCTTACATGTCTAACTACAAAAGGAGGTTTGCTTTCTCTGGAGATTCTGAAATTATTTCCAAGCTTCAATTGAGCTGGCTGGTCCTGGAAGGAATGCCTGGTAGAATATGGAGAGGGCGCCCGGGATTTCATGTTTTGGGGTAGTCTGTTGAGATTATTCTCCTTTGGCTTCACCTGTTTATTATTTAGAAGGAATTTGGGTCCATATGATGTAGATAAAGGCCTTCGGGACTTATATCTTTCTTCCTGAAACCAAAAGAAGAAACAATACTTTTAGAAACAAAAATGTGAAAACAATAAATTCAACCAGAATATAACTGTATTTAATTGAATTTTGTCTAACTAAGCTGGAAGAATGAACATGTCAGATTTATAAAATCTGAACTTAAGGAAGGGCATTTCTCTAATTTTTCTTCAGTTCAGCTTAACATCACTAGTATTTATAACTTGCTAATATGCTATATTTCAATTAGTAACAGTAAGATTTGTATTAGGAGAAAGTTGGAAAGTACCAGACACCCTCTTTCAGTCACAGATAGATGACTGATGGATATGGAGAGACTGAGATCAAGAAAGAGAAAAAATTGGCATATACTCAGATCCAGCAATTTCACTTCAAGGAATTTAATATAAGGAAATAATTATGGTTATGTGTATATTATAGCTACAAGAATTCTTATAACAGTTCAAAAATGAGAAACCAACTCTATTGGTGAGTGGTAAGTAAGCAACTGTCTCTCAACTCCGAACTCAACTTTCCATACTCAGCTTTATGATACTGGGGCTGGCACTCTGCAAACCCCGTTTCCTCTTTTCCAGCTGTTCTGTTAGGCTCCACCACTAGAAGGCGCTAGAGGGAGACTGCAAGACTGAGGGAGGAAGACAAGACTGGCCACTTGCAGTGTGGCATCTTATTCCACCACAGCAACCATTTCTCACCTTGGCAGCGGCAAATGGTTCCAGTTTATAGTACCACCCCCACCCACAACCCACAATCCCAGAACTAGCCTCATTGTGCTCCCCCCAGGCATACCAGCACTCAGACATTTGAGTCTAGCCCCGCATGATCCTTGCTCCAAGCTCCTGAGACACCTGCAGTGAGCAGTGTCCCTCCTTGCAGGTCTGAGTCTCAGCTCATCAGAGTCCTACCTCTGAATTCCTGAGGAAGCAGCCGGGAAAGCAGCCCCTCCCCAGGCTCCCTTTTCTGTGGCGTCTCTTCCTCAGGCTTCTATGCTCTTCGTGACCCAGCATCTTCCCTTTGTGTCCCCAGCCCTAGAGGTGGGAGCTACTTCCTGCGATTACTATCTCCACCACTTCAGTGATCCCCTTTTACCTTTCAGTACTCCAACCCCTATTTAGCCTTTAATTTTTTTTTTACATTAAACCTTTCTATTAAAATAACAGGTGTGGTTTGTTTTCTTGACTGGACCCTGACATATCAATTAAGTGTCGAACAATAGGAAAATGATTGGCCAAACAAATTGTGGTACTTCCATACAGTGGAAAACTATGAAGCCATGAAAAATTGCCTGGTATAAGAATACTTAAGTACAGAAGAAGATGTTCAT